GGGCTTTTGAAGAGGAGAAGAGAGGATTAGGGTTTTGTCAAGATCGGAGGAAATTAGGGTTAGGGTTAGGGTTTAGGATTACCTGGAGAGGGGGTTGGTAGTAGGAGAGATAGGCGAGCTTGTTGGATGGTTGAAGGTTGAGAGAGAGAGAGAGAGAGAGAGAGAGAGAGAGAGAGAGAGATAATTGACGGAGCATGAATTTGTAAGTTTGATGGAGACGAAGAGGCAAGCTTGGCAAATCGATGCGGTCTTCCAGGGTGAAGACCGGAGGCTGTCGAGGGTCGTCGGAGGTGCTGAAGTTTTCGCGCCAAAAGGCGGAGCCACCGACGGTTTGGCTAGAGACGACGAAGAGAGAGGATCTGTGGGCGGAGACTAGGGAAATGAAGAACGGGGGAAATTGTTAAGAGTGAGGAGGTGATTGTGAATTAGTAAGAACAAATTCGAAGAGTCGATTTGGGGAGTTAATGGTGGTTTCTGAGATCCAAGGAAACGAAGAGTCGGTCTTGAGAAAAGAAGAACAGTGGAAAGAACGGGGGAAATGAAGAGTCGGTCTTGAGATCCAACAAAATGTGTTTTTACGATATAGATGGATATATTGGGAATTGAAGAAAGGGTATTGAAGAAAGTAATTTTAAAAAAGCAGGAAGTTGCCAAGTGGCATGTACAATGGTGTACTATTGCAGGTGCGTTTTCAAGGGTAAGATTTTTAGTAATAGTATATAATATATATATATATATATATAATATATATATAATTATATTATATATTAATATAATATATATATATATATTATATATATATTATATAATTATATATATATATATATATATATATATATAAAGAAAAATGGAGAACCTTGTACCAAGTTGCTTAAAGCAATTTGGAGTGATGTGCCTAATCTTCCCCTAGATCACACCTCGAAGATAGAGCCTCAACCACCCTTCACCAACTCTAATGTAATGTAGGTGACAAGATTAGGCCACATCACTACAGTTCTTGAGCAGATTGGACTAAGTTTCTCCATTTCTCTCTCTCTCTCTCTCTCTTATATATAATATATAATTATATATTATTATATATTATAATAAATATATATATATATATATATATATATATATATAAGTATATATTATTTTAGTATATATATATTATATATAATAATAAAAGCAGGAAGTTGCCAAATGGCATGTACAATGGTGGTTACTATTTGCCAAGTGACGTTTTTAAGGTGTTAAGAGTTGTTTTAGTAATAGTATATATTATAAATATTATATTATATATATATATATAGTATATTATATATATATTAGAGAGAGAGAGGAGTAGAGAGAGAGAAATTTATGTCAACTTAAGTGGACGTCCACTAAGTTTCTTAGTCATTGATGATCACTTGATTGAGCTAAATTGTGGATGATCCGCTTCGTTGAACTTGATCTACATATTCTTGTAATACCCCAACCCTTGAGAGGGTGATGTGATTAGTATTGATAGATTTGATTGGAATACTCATAACACCAAGATGCATCTTCTTTTCGGAAACACAACTCTTAGAAACTCCAAAGTTAAGCGTGCTTGGCCTGGAGAAATTCTAGGATGGGTGACCCCCTGGGAAGTTTTCTAGGGAGCGCGTGAGTGAGGACAAAACGTGCTGAAAAGACATGTGGTGATTTATGAGGCCAGTCCATCAGATCTAATAGCGTACCGACTCCGGGATTCCGGGGCAGGGCGTTACAAATGGTATCAGAGCCAAACCAACCGGAATTGTGAGAGCTAAGTGCTATGCGGCGCAAAGTGCTACGTCGAGAGGGCGGGAGCCACCTCTTGAGGCCGTAGGAGCCACTTCTAGAATCTCACACGGATGGTACGGTCTTGAATGATATGATTTGGCGCAACGAGGACGTTGCGAGTTTAAGTGGGGGAGTTTGTAATACCCCAACCCTTGAGAGGGTGATGTGATTAGTATTGATAGATTTGATTGGAATACTCATACCACCAAGATGCATATTCTTTTCGGAAATCCAACTCTTAGAAACTCCAAAGTTAAGCGTGCTTGGCCTGGAGAAATTCTAGGATGGGTGACCCCCTGGGAAGTTTTCCAGGGAGCGCGTGAGTGAGGACAAAATGTGCTGAAAAGACATGTGGTCGTTTGTGAGATCAGTCCATCAGATCTAATAGCGTACCGACTCCGGGATTCCGGGGCGGGGCGTTACAATTCTAAAACTCTAACACACCAAATTTGGGGTGAACCCATCGTGGTTTGACCTTTAATCCACTCGTATCAATTTTAACGGTTTTGAATGAATAGAACTTTTTACACGGCTCGACGGAGGGTCAAACCACGACGGATTCACCCCAAATTTGGTGTGTTAGGATTTTAGATTACGTAGATCAAGTTCAATGGAGCGGATCATCCACAATGTAGCTCAATCAAGTGATTATTAATGACTAAGAAACTTAGTGGACGTCCACTTAAGTTGACATAAGTTTATATATATATAT